CGGGTCGGAACTGTGACAGAGTTCGTGACGCTCATCAAAATTCTCTACCATTTCAAAAGGCCTAAATAATTGAATAACTTTCAGCTGCTGGAATAGTTCTCGACATGTTTCGATCCGCCAGGAATTCGTGATTAATTATTATATCATTGCATTTGGTACTTTGAAACTATGTACGTGATTTAAACAAGTAATTTGCATGTAATTACTTCGAAAGATCGCTAATTTAATAATAGATAAACATAAACAATCACTTTTGATAGGTAATTTGCGAAATAATGGTTCCTCAAATAACCCGTCTCAGCTTGAGCAGTCATTAATCTTCTTTGGGTAAAACCCAATTGCATTATTTAGATTTAGGTAATGGCTTACGGTTTGAAGCCATACAATTCGGGAATTATCGTTAATTATTGCGAAAACAACTAAGTTCAACTTTAGCAAATTTGTCTGGCCGGAAATAGATATTTGGAGTGAAAATATCAACATTAGCCAGATTGAAATAATAAATGCAGCTTGTTTTTCATCAGGCTAAAATTTGACTGTATTTGTGGAAACTTGACCTGTTTGTTCGTGAGTTTTCCTGTTTGTTTTGCCCTTTATTTTACAGCTAAAGTTTCGAATGTAAAAACTCGAGAGCGGTGAGAAAATATCCGGTATATTAAAATGTAGACTTCGTTGTCTAAATATTTCCTTACTGTTGACTGTGAATATTTTCGTAGTTGGTGATTCGATGTGAGCCAATTACTATATTATTGGACACATTTTCAAGTTGTAATACTGGCAAAAAAATGTTATAAACATATTGTACAGGGTGTTTGAATAGTGTCATGTTTTCTTGGTCAAAGTTTAAGTCGGTTTGCGGGCAATATCGGGTAGCTCAGACACACATAAACATAAATACCTATAGGGTTTCATCGCCCAATGTCTTCTGAGTAATTTAGATTTTTCATCGGCTGTTTAACTGTATATATTTTTTATGGCTCTATTCTTTTATTCTAGTGAACCTATTTCAATAGGTTTTTTGCAATTTGTAACTTATATTATACTGGCTTACCTAAAAACGAAATGCGGCAATGTTCTTTTAAGTGCATCGTTTTATAAACATTTTTGTTTTTCGATTATTATTTTCTCTTAAAAAGTAATAAAATATCAGCATCAAGTAATGTGCTTGCAAAAAACCGAAATCTGTTTTTAAAATGCGGCTAAAAATCTGCGTGCCATTTTAATGAATTGTCCGCGAAAAAATAGGACAAACTCAAATAATTTTTTATAGACCGTCTGAGCGACTAAGCCGCTTTCCAAAAATACATTAAAAATTAAAACAATGAAAAATGCTTGTGAAAATTCTCTTGGTCCCATACAATGTTGCGATAAAAATGTAATTTTATTATGTTTTCTTTAATAAAACACGTTGTTCTATTGTTCCCATTCGAATTTAACATTGATTCAATTCGATCGTTTAAGGTAAATAGATCATTGTCTATTTCCAATAGTTTTAGCTATTTAAAGTTGAGTCAGTCGCGCGATTTGCTGGAAACAGTCCAAGGACGTCACAATTTTTTTTTTTTACTTAATTATGTCAGCTGGACCTGTTCACTGCCTGTTTTGAATAACATCTTGCGTGTTTATGCGATCAATAAATTCACTCATCTCACATATTCTTACTCATACACTCACTAGAAGGAAAATATTCAAAAGCTGCTAATAGTCTTTCAAAAATCTTTAGGACTTTTGTTTGTTTTTTAAATTCTTTAGTGAAGTTATCAATTCCTTTGGTTTTGGAGGAAGAAAGTTTTGGTTAAAACTTGTTGACCCTCTGGTTTTGCTCGTTTCTGGTCAATTGCTTCCTACACATTAAATAATCTCGGTGGTCAAAATCATTGGTTTTTTCTACTTTTAAGGAGCTTTAATTTAAATGTTGAAACTGACTGCTTAAGCTAGACATTTCTATTTAATTTTTTTGTGCACCCAATTGCTAAACTAATTAAACTGACGAGGAAACAAAATCGCCGTCCAAAACTGCTGTAAATCGGCTTTGGCGATTTTTTTTGCTTCTAGTTTTGGTCTTTGCCCGGTATTAAGTGCGAAAAAAAACTTATTAACATTCTCATAATCTGCAATGTAACTTGGTTGAGCAACATTCTCTTTGTGGGCATTTGGAATTTATTAAATATTAATTAAAATTTGAAATAGTAAATGACTAATCTGGTCGAAAAAGTTGCATCAGGTGATGGTTTGCGCAAATAAAAATTATTTGCAATTCCATTTAAATTTGATTGATATACAGAGAGCGGTATTTATTCACATGATGTTGATACCGTTTAAGGTTGAAATAAACAATTCCGTGCAAATTAAGGGCAGAACTGCCCTAAAAATGTAACACTAAGTTTCTGGACTGGGGCGGCTGCTTTAAATAGATTTTCTTTAAAGAAATGGATGGTTTTCGGTAAAAATTCAGATTATGAACTTTTAAAATAAGAGAACAATTTAAATCTTATTGCGCTGAAATTTGTCGGTCTATTGTCCTTAGATTAAAAACTAAAAAATTAGAAAGCGTCAAGATGATTTGTTCTTTTCTGGAAATTTGAAGCTTGAAGCGCTCGTATAGCTTTTCGCCCCGAAGAACAAGTGGAGGTTGTTTGTCAAGAGGTCATTTCAAGTCTGCAATATTTGCAAATAATTTGGCATTAACAGAGCTTTGTAGGTATTTTACAAATTCTAAAATTCCATCGGGAATTTCCTAAAAAACACGAATATTGCTTGAAATAAATCTCCCGAAAACTGAGAACGGTTCAAGTGTAATAGACTTGTCGTATTCCGGGCCTCTTTGTGCTCTTCACTGGAATTTCGGTTGGAGATGGAAATAATGTTAAATGAGAAAAACAAGTCGTTTACGTTTACCTGCATACAATCTATAAATAGACGTTTTATTTTTGAAAATTTTAAATGCTGTGGTAATTATTTGATAATGGTTAAAAAGCATTAAATAATGACAAGACAAACAGAGGTTTCTTTTAAATACAAATATATACATATAATATAATATATTCCGGTTTTACGGCCGTACATAAGGTGCCCATTTCGCATTAGAACAAATTCATAATAATTTTTGCTTGCCGAAGATTCATACAATGAAGAAAAACGAAAAAGACCGTCACTTCATTCTTAAAGGGTCATCAGGCCGAAGTGCAAAACGCAAATATTCTGATGGACTATTACCCTCAAATGCCATCGATTGCTGTGTAACTACCAAATAATATGATTTATGCACTAACGATTTTCTACAACTGAACATGCTTATTACATTGCGAGGTAATTGGCGTTGACTTTGAAACTAACGTGTTTATCGGTTTAATGACCACCTGCTTTTTATCAATTACATCACCAATTTTTGCATTGTTACCTACCAGCAAACACATAAGTTTCCATATGAAAGAGCAAACAATTTTAGCAAACAATGGTCGGTCGTTGCGCTGATGCATATTGCAACAATTTTTTAACCACTGCAATTAGGCAAAAGCGCACCAATAAAATCGAAAGGAAATGGAGGCAAATAGCCAACGTATAGTTTCGGATGGAAATAGACTTGCTCAACCATGCAGGCGAATTTTCAAGGCAAAAGTTCGATCTTGTTTGGAAATATCGTTTAAGCGAGAATAGTACTCAGACTGGCAACTTTCAAGTTGTAATTCGGATTTTTATGGTTTTAGTAATACTTTGTAGTTTCACGCTATAAAGGCTACATAGTTGCAATAAGAGCAACTGTAAGCCTCCAGGGTGGTTGAAAAATGGACTTTATATCTCTGGATTTGTTTTAAGTGCACTTTTAATGCCGTTCTAAAGCCATTTGCAAACGGAATTTCTAATTTCGTTTTTCGCAAACATCTCAGTTTTTTCGCAGAATAACATTTTTATAATTTTGCCTGAACTCCCTACATAAGCCCAGTTTTTGTTGAAAACACCCGGTATTTGTTGAATTAACAATTTTTACAATTTTATGGTATGATTTTAGATTTCGAGTTAAAAATTCCTTGAATTTTGCTGTATTTTTAAGTTTATTTTGTCTGATCCAGAGTTATGTGGCTAACACCACAGACAAACAAGTTATTTGAAAATTGGCGATTCCAACAATTTGATTGAGTCAAAAAAAAAACACTGACTATAAATGGAATTTTGAATCACTGTTTCTAATTCCTCTCGAGTTAAAACTAAATCTTCAATTAGATACAAGCAGAAGGAAAACTTTATTTCAAAAAAATCCTGAGTCGTAAACTGCAAAAACTCAAACCCAAATTTTTAGACTACTTAATAGAGATAACTTGCTACGTTAATGTAGGAAAGTCTCAGTTAACTTTTTTCACAAAAAATGTTCGCGTTTTTTCACACATCTACAAGCCAAGCTGCAATTAGACACAAGCGCATGGGACATTCCATTTTCAAAAAATCTTGATTATGGAAACAAAGAAGCTGAAAATGTGCCTTTTATCCCGTTTAATAGAGAATATTCAGATCTAAAAGCTCTGAAAGATTCAGTCATTTCGCAATTTCGTCTGAAGAATCGGCCAATAGACACAAGCCTAGTGAAACTTTATTTTCAACAAATCCTAAGTTGAAAACTGGAAAATCTCAAACCCTGATTTTTAGACCAATTAATAGAGACCTGGCACTTACAAGTGGGAAAGTCTTATTTAACTAAAAAATTTCCGCAATTTTTCACCAAGTTTTTCATCGACAAGTGAAGCCGCACTAGACACGCATACCATTTTCAAAAGTTCCGTATTTAGAGAGCAAAAAAGCTGAAAAATTGGTTATTATCTCTTTGCCACACTCTTCCTTAAAAACGTTAGCTGAAAAGCAACTAACCACAATAGCCACAAAAGAATAGTCTATCGGACTTAAATCTGGCAGTTGTGATGGTCAGTTAATGGGATTGCAAAATCTAATTAATAGAGACATTATCATTGTTTTCAATGCACAACTAACCATAGTTTCTTTCGTTTCAGATTGGTACGAGTAAACTGACTTACATAGCCAGAGGGTACGTTAAAGTTGGGAAAACTCCCAAATTATGCTATGCGGACACCATTAAATGGAACGCAATCGGACCAAATAGTTTAGCCCACATTCAGCTTTACAGAAATGACTGTCTTCCGTGTGCCCAAGAATGCGGTGGTGAGTAAATTTCAAATTATGATATGGATATTATTGGATTATAATGACTTCCAGAATGAGTGCTTTATTAATCGTTAAATGACTCCTAATTATTTCATTAAAATGTTAATAAGCTTCTGAGGTTTTAAAAACCAGCGTGCAAAGCATCAACCGCAATTTAATTAATTTCTGTATTAATTGCAACGACCTTTGAATCTAATACTAAAGCAGGATTGAACATCAATTATTTAACGAACATTAGAAAACTAAGGAGTATTCACAATTCCACTGTGCATGATACACATTTTGTTATTTTTCAAAGTGCCAGATCTGTAGCTCCTATACGCCTTCTAACCGGTTTGAAGTATTTTTATATGGCCTCATTTCTCAAAATCTGTTGTGCGCAATGTGGCAATTGGTTTTGTTGATTTGTGTCGCGTAATTAATTCCTGTTTCGTATGGAGCCTAAGATTAGACGCTGAGAAAGTCTCATTAAGTGAGCCCGAAATAAACGACGTTGAATAGCATCGTAATCAGGAAACAATTTTTAGGAAACCCGGTGTTTTAAGGAATCAGTTTTGCTTTGGTTTTGCAAAACTTTCGTGATAAAACACGAATTTTTATTTGACTCTCTGTGGAGTAAAGGGGGTCCAAATTACTTAACATTTAAGTCACTTCAAATTGAAAATTTTATTGGCAGGAAAGCAAAGCTCGGACTTTGTTCAAGCAAATGAAAAACTGGACCGAATTTAGAAGCGTTTTAAAACTGAATTAAGCGTTGACTTAAATTGGAACAACGAGGGAAGACAGCACGCAGCAGACAGACGTAATTTCACTAGCAGGCTTCTTTGTTACTTTTTTATTGGTTGACATGAACAGAATTGAGGATCAGTTAACCATGACTCTTATTAGTTACCCCAAATTCTACATACTGGATCTTTTTGAAACCTTGAAACATTTGATATCCGGCGAGGTTCAGAAGACGGAAAGGTCCGTCAGGCAATCCGTTTAAAATAAAAATAAAATCCTTGATATATATGTAGATTTGCACGTGATCAAAAACCATTTAAACAGTTGATATATATAAATATATATAAATAATCTTTATTTCCTACAGAAAAAAGATACCGACCCAATCGGTCTTTCTGTCCTTGTTTAGTACATATGTGTCTTAGCCTAGCTTATTCTAAAATTAATTCCTATTCCTAACACTCGTATAAATTAATCAGCGATACAAAAAAGTTTTAAAAAATTCTTGGCTTACAGAACAAACAGGTCTTAGTCGTTAGTTCAATTGCGTTTGTAGATGTTCTCGTAAAGTATCTGTAGGGGTACGAAAGCGGGAGGGTTTTGTCTGTCTTGTTAGGCAAAGGGGATTCAGTATGGTCCAGTTGTGGGGGTTGTTTGTCCATTTTGTCTGTAAGTGTATTAGTCTTTCCGAAATTTTTGTCATGTTTGAGCGTTCGTATAGTAGTTGGTTGGAAGGGTTGTGCAGTCGGTTTTGGGTCTTATTCGTGTTATTAGTCTTAGTGCAATTTGTTCTGTTGTTTGTACGTACCGTTTTGTCCTTTCTGTTCCGTTGGCCATGAGTATATGTCCGTAGTCCAAGAGGGGTCTGCAGATCGCTTTGTATATTTTTGTCGCGATATTTGTACTAATTCCTTTGTTCTTGTATGTTAGTGATCGAAAGTGTTTTGTTCTTTTTATCATTTCTGTTCTGATGTTTCGTGTGTGTTTAGTGAATTTCAGTTTATGGTCGATTGTTAAACATTCAACTTTTGAACGAACTTCGTGCGAAGTAACAGTTGAAGAAACTACATCTATTCTGTTTGATCAACTGCACATTTTCACAAGAAAACTTTAATTTTTAACATTGAAACTGTCCACATTAGTATAGCCTGCTTATTAACCTCTGCCTACTTCTTCCAGGTTACTGTTGGAACCAAGACACATGTCAGATTTTCAGTGATGACTGCCATGCAGAGTGTTTGGGTTGTACCAAACCCGCCTCAAATGAGCATTGCGAAGTCTGCAAAAACTTCGATAATGACGGAGTATGTGTAGCCGAGTGTCCGGAAAATAGGTAAGTGTTCACCTGATCTATTGTTTTCATTTTTCCATATTGTGTAAAGCCCACTTTGCCTATTACCACTCTGGATTAAACAGTTCCAGCTTCAAGCTCCTTTAGAAACACTAAGAATTTAGACATGTGTTCAATTTATAAATGCAGTCATTGGATTCGCCCTAATTTCCTTCTAGCATGTCAAAATGGAATAGGAAAACCTCCTCTCAGTGTAGTTTCCGTCAGTCACTTTGTTTTATCTGTAGAATTATTTTAAGTCCATGAGCCACGCTACTAAGTGCATCATTAGTGCGACACGTCCAAGAAATCAACCCAAGAAAATTCAATTAAATTAATCATATAATGGGAAAAGGTTTTTACGGAAATTTCTAATGATTGATTCAAGATATATTATAATTGGTAAAAGATACTCGAGTGGTTTCAGTCTTAAATATGGTAAAAATCATCTTATAGTCATGAATGAAAGGAATTTATTCATGAACATATTAAGTTGCAAAGGACAAAAATAATAAATACTGATTAAAGTCATGATGTAGTCGACAAAATAAATGAATTCATTAAGTAATTAACATGAAAAAATAATACAATAAACCACAACATCAATAGTTTAGAATGCTTTAACGACGTCGTTTATTCAGTAGGTTACAAAACGTTGATTGCATTTTGGATAAAAGTTTGGAGGCGCAGCTTAAGGTTAGTTCAACGAAAACAATAAGCTTGAAAAGTTGTTATTTGGGAATTGGGACCAATAATTATATTTTGTAACTTTGTGCTCGTAACAAAGTTATACAGGGTGAGTCACCTTATGGACACGAGAGCAGGGGCGTGTAGAAAACTTCAAAACAAATCTAGTTTCCATTTATGTTTTTTTTCTCCGACCCACGGTTAACGAGATAGAGGGTGGTAAAGTTTAAAAAAAAATTGGGTATTTTCTCTTCAACTCTTACAGTTTATGAGATATGTTGCTCAAATTTTTAACGTAGGCTAATGTTTAGACCCTTTACCCGTAGGTAAGGCGACTGGGTCTGACAATCTACAGGGTGTTTTTTTTTCTAGAGGCATACCCCCTTTTACCCCCCGACATTTTTTGTGGTGCGCCAATGACTCGGGCCGAACACATTTTTCTATTTGCTGTTCGATTTAAGAATTTTCTGATCTCTTGCAGTTTTTTCGTATCTGTCTTCGTTTTCGAGTTATTTGCACAAATATAAGTTCATGTAGGGTTTCTGGGTGATTTTCTATTTTCTATTTTAAAATTTATAATTTTTGTACTTTAATTTAATTTACAATAGTTGAGGTTGATGGCCTGTAAGATAATCCAAAAATGCACAATAATGTAACGAATATTTCAATTTATTACGAAATTAATTTCTTTCGCCAAAAAATGCTAACAATAGGACGCAAAATTCATGGAAAATCACCCAAGAACCCTACATGGACTTATATTTGTGCAAATAACTCGAAAACGAAGACAATTACGAAAACACTGCAAGATATCTGAAAATTCTTAAATTGAACAACAAATTCAACAATTCGTTCGGTCGAAGTCATTGGCACACCGCAAAAAAGTTCGGGGGGATAAAAGAGGGTATGCCTCTAGAAAAAAGAACACCCTGTAGATTTTCACAACCAGTCGCCTTACATACGGATAAAGTGTCTAACCATTAGCCTACGTTAAAAATGTAAGCAAAATATCTCATAAACTGTAGGAGCTAAAGAGAAAATACCAGATTTTTTTGGAAACGTTAACACCTTGTATCTCGTTAACCATGGGCCTGAGGAAAAAACTGAAATTGAAACTCGACTTGTTTTGAGGTCCTCTACACGCCTCTGCTCTGTGTCTGTAATGAATCACCCTGTATAACTTTGTTACGAGTACAAAGTTAAAAAATATAATTTTTGGACCCAATTCGCAAATAACAGTTTTTCAAGCTTATTGTTTTTTGTTTGTGTGTGTTAACTATCTTTAAGCTGCGCCTCCAGACTTTTAGCCAAAATGCAATCAACTGTTTGTAACCTACTGAATAAATTACGTAATGAATTAATTTATTTTGTCGATTACATCATGACTTTAATCACTATTTATTATTTTCGTCCTTTGTACCTTATGACCACTTCTTAAGCTGGTGTGTCCTTTTTTAAATCTTTCATTTAATATTTATAAATACATTCCTTTCATTGATGACTATTAGATGATTTTTACCATATTTCAGATTGCAACCAACCCTGCTCTGTGTCCATAAGGTTGTGAATCACCCTGTATTTTGTTTTATATCAAATTACAGGTGTTTGCTTTGGGATCTGGTAAAACGTAAGAGATGCGTAGTAAAAAGGTGTTTTAAAATTTGAAAACGTTTGACTACTTTTGGAAATATTCCTAGAAACCCGAAGTTTGCCAAAATGAGTCTTACGCAGCTCGTAAAACCTTTAGAAAACGTGTGTAGAAAACGAACAGATGTCTGAAAATAATTGCCACTTTATTAGATACCTTTTACTCTTTGCAAGATTATACTATCAAATCTTAATCTTTCATTTTCGAACCAACTTTATTACGAACTTTTATGCCGATTTAGTGCTCTCTTCAGGTCAGACGTAAGATATCCACAAGAATACGTGAGTTATTTCGTTTTAAAACGGGCAATAAACAGCAACGAGAAAAGCCAGACGTATTCGGAGCATCAATTCAAACGACCTTGCTTGATGCGAAATAACCAGAAGGGTGAATAGACATTGGGGAAACGACACAACAATGGATTTTTTCCTTCTGGGGTCGTGTAAAAAATGTTCTCTTTTATCTTCTTTGAGGCTCATATAAAAATGTTTGATACATTTTCAAGCTCCTTGTTTCGATGTTTACGAACTGTATCTATTTGTGGTTATTTATTCATATTCTATTAGGCAAAGTCAATTTATTTGCGTTATTTATCAATGGTCAAGCAATACAGGGTTTTAGGCAAATTTGTCTTAGCCGAAAGTTGAAAGATTTCGAGGTACTGGATGTCAAAGTTTTGCTATTTTTGCTGCTTCAGGTCTACGAAATGAAATTATCCATTGCTTGTGAATGAAACTCAAATTGGATCTCTAAAAACAAGAAATATTCTACTCAAATTTGCAATAAACAGAACGTACCATACAATATGTATTTATCTAGAGAGGATAACAAATATTTTAAACTACTTTTTAGACTCATTAAAGTCTTCGAACATAATTATTTCCTAATATTTCTTCAAGCTGATCTCCTCTGACTTTATTTAATTTCGATTCCTCGGTCTAGAAAATGCCAACATTTGTTGGTGGTTTTTCGAAGCCACCAACAAATGGTTTGTTGGTTGAAAAACAACGAAAATTTCATTTCGACTTTGACCTGTACCTCGGGAACTATTAACTGTAGGATCAAACAACTTTTGAATAATCTCCAATTTTTTTGAAACCTTGTATTATTTGAAACTTCTACTTCACTGTTTAGCAAACATACAAAAATAAAGCTTATTAAGGCGTTCAAAAATAAACTGTCTCTTGTAATTCGTGTTTCCTTTGCCAAAACTTAAAGCAATATAATAAACTGAAAACGTGACACCCAATAAAAATTTCATTGGGACAACAGTCGATCTGATCAAAACCTGTTGTGAAATCCTCAGATTTGCCGGAAGGAACGTTAATAATCCCCTGTAGCGGTCCGAAATCGTTGTTTTAGAGTGGCAAGTCCTCGTTCGTTTCAGAAATATTGGAAAAGCAATTGGGAAGTAACTTAAATTGCGGGTTTTATTGAAAACTATATTGGTAGCGAATCGCACTACTACACCATCAAATAGTGGGAAATTTTCTATAACCTTGGATGCACAACTGAAATGAGCAATAAAATATTTACGACCTATTGTAAAATGTGTTTTAAGCGTTTTGGCTTCCATAACGTTTCCCAGGACAGGACTTAGATTTGAGCCATAATGCCATTAAAACATATCTAGTGTGTTCTGGAATATCTTTGTTTTTATTATGGGGTAAAACGAAAACAATGATGCTTATTAATCCCTCTGAGTGAAAGTTTGTTCGTTTTTGTTCAGCTCTCAGATTGAACATTTTTCTACCCATTTTCCTGGGAATCTTAACTCTGGATAGTTTTAGTTGCAACTACAACCGGGTTTTTAATGTTCTTGCAAATCCAACAGATGAGAATTGAAACGACAGCAAATAATTTCACTAATCCATATTATTTCTCTGAAAATTTCTGGCTATTGTTCAAGCACAGACATTGATATTTTTTGTTATTTACTTGTAATTCTCTTTGTTCCAGATATATTTTACAAATCTTAGGCAAATGTATATCGGAAAAAGAGTGCCATAGCCGCAACATCCGCAACAACAGTCCGGGTGCAAATCAAGGCGTTTGGTTCATCTACAAAGGTGAATGTCGCAACACCTGTCCCGAAGAAACGGAATTCAACGAAACCTTGCAAAACTGCGTACCATGTTTCAATGAATGTTACAAATCATGCGAAGGTGCCGAGTTGGTCAATAGTCTGACCATCGAGGACATGCGAGGATGTACGCACATTAATGGATCGCTTTCAATCCTATCGCTTAAGAATAATTATGACCGTGATGATCTGTTTACCTCCTTAAAATCCGTACGGTACATTAGAGACTATTTGAAAATATCCAGATGCGATGTGATCAACGATCTGCAATTCCTGCCAAACCTGCGTGAAATTGGAGGAATGAATTTGTTCGCCAATAAATCCCTGTTGGCTCACGACAACAGGAATCTGAAAAAGCTGTGGGATCTCAATGCGAATTTTACGTTGCAAATTAAACATGGTAAGTAGTATTGAACTAAAGTTCCAAGATTAGAAGATGTAATAACTTTCTAAGAGCTCCGAAGCTACTACTCGTATCTCAGCCTGTAATTGGCTACTAATGCAACTTCGGGATCATAGACATTAAGGGATGCAAAATCAATGTTGCTCAAAAACAGATTGGGATGTATGAACGACTAGCTTCGTCTAGCTATTAATGTCATTGCAATAAGGGAATCTACAATAGTCGTTTAATCAATGCAGTTTCTTTACTATCGCGTACCGCGTTGGCTGTAAAAAGCGTTTAAAACTGACCGGTTATTTGGTCGGATGTTAGGTAGCAGTAACACGGGTCTGCAACAAAATCCTCCTTCAAAAAATTATGACATAAATATAAAGATTTTGATGCGCTGATTTTTTGTATCACGTCTAAATTTTTCGACATGATTTTTTTGTCAAAATATCATGAATTTACCTTTTTATTCGGTTTATGCGTTAATATTGTACTGATTTTGCCTGAGGACCTTCAGGTATTTCAACTGCCGAATTCGGTGATTTGGAGGTGGACGAAGCCACACAAGATTCCTCAATGCTTGCCAACAAAGGCGTTTCTTCTTCTATAACATCCTTTGCAGCCCCTGCAGATGAAACTTCCTGATTGTTCTTGCCAAGTTCTGTGGCATTACTGGATCCTTCTGGAATGTTATCTTCATAGGCCTGAGAATTATCATCCATTGTACTTGGGTCTGGCTCGCCTCTATTAACCGGAGTGGCAGTAGAAGCGATGGGAGTATTGTTTTCTGCGATTTCCTCAAGTTTTACAGTGCTCTGTTGTAACGAGGTATTGCTGTCAACCACTGCGGTTGCACATGCAGCATCTTCGCCGGTTTTGTCATTTCCCACAATTTCTTCAATATTAGTGTCCTCAGCAATGAATTCTGCCGGCAAATTAGAGATATGTTGCACATCTTGCTCGTTTGGAGCACTGTTATCCATAGTCATCACATTTTCCACCATGAAACTATCGTAAGTGGCTTGAGAGTTATCAGTAATGCTTGCAACCGCCATTCTGATGTCTTCCATTTCCCTAATTTAATTTTCGCTTAACCGTCGGTGCTCTCTGGTGGTGTCAATAACAGATTCGTTCTGTAATGACGCCCCTGCTAAAAGAGTCTCCAAATTCGATGCAGCGTTTATGGATTCTACATCAGGCTGAGCTTCCGCTGGCGCATTTTCTTCTATCGGCAATTCCGGGTCGGAAAATTGCTCAACTTCAGTAGCGATGTTAATTAAATTGGCGCCTTCATCTAATGCTGGCAAATCATGTACGGGTTCATCGCTAGTTGGCCCATTGCACTCAGAATCAGATGATTCTTCATTCAAACAAACTACTTTTTCTAAGTCCGGTTCCACAGTTTTCTTTCTGAGCATTATTTCGGGTTTAGTTTTCGCTAATTCAAGCAGATTTTGCGCATTTTTAGTTTTATCAGCAACCGACAATTCTTCAGTCTTCACAATAATCGCTTCGTCCGTAATCATCTTGTATGATGGGAGTTCTTCAGCATGTTCGTCCTGTGATTCCGAAATTGCTATACTTTCCGTCTTTACCACTTCCTTCACTTTCGCCGCTGTTAATGTCTCTTCCACAGAGTAGACTTCTTTCGCCACTTGAGAGTTTTCCTCTGGTGAAACAGTTACTTTTGATAGTATAATACCTAGTAAGTTTTCACAAGAGTTATCAGTTTTAGCCACATCATCTCCTTCAGAGACAAGTGAATCAGTTATTTCCCCATCTAAGGACAGTTTCTGATCAGAATTAGCCACTTCGGGCTCCACCGGAATTTCGTCTAAATGCTCCTGAGCAACTTGTTCATTCGTGATCTCGACAATACCATCTTCTCGATCAACTTTCGGCTCTTGAACGACTGGATTTTCATCTTCTGGCTTTTCCACCACTGCAGAAATGTCCACGATTTCAGTGTGTTCCAAATCATCAGTCACTTCCCCGATGTTCTTTAGTTGGCCTTCAACGGTTGTTTTCAGGTCTTCAAATTTCTTAGCGTTTTCGTCCATTTTATCTCTCATTTCGTTCATCACTTTCTTACTGTCGGCCATTTCATCCAGCATTTCTTTGTTGTTGTCATTCATTTTGTCCATTTTTTCACTCATCTGCATGAGCAGTGCAATCAAACTGGGGTTCTCCATTGCAGGGTCTTCCTTCTTTGATTTACTTCTTGTTTCCATCAAAATTCAACTTGG